AGCCAGACATCCCACTATCGACATACTATTTATATCTGTCGACATCAGTGGCACACACCACACTTATACGTTTGAAATGATAACAATATGGGTTCCTTGAAACATAAAATTTCTGCTTTTGGAAGAGCAATGATGATAATTAGTTTTGAAATAACATTATGTCCTTTGACGTGTGTCAGTTTACAAGCAAAATTATATTGTTGCGAATGTTACAGAATTTACTGCAAGAAGTTACTGAATTAGGCTATGTTATAAGACAACTTATTCAGAGAATAAGAGGGCTGAAGTTTCGTACATTAGAACATGAATTATGTTATTCTGGTCCTGGTGTTCACTGTAACAGTTGAAGCGCTTTATGATGGTCACGTTACGATGAGCAGCTGATGAATGAGGATGAATTTAAGTACAATACATAGCTGTTTACAACGAGAAGTAATTGGGCAAATACATAATCAGTCGTTTAAAATGTTGGCTTTAACTTCTTATCAGTTATTTTTTGGTAATAATTTCAGGTAACAAAAATAACAGGCTTCCAGTAATCACAACCATATGTCCGTCTGACATATTGGTGGTATTATTGGAGGTGTAATCCGAAATCACGTGCTCCATATGTTTTTTGGTTGTAGATAGCAAGAATGTTGAAAAAGTAGAAGAAAAAGAAAAAATGAGATGCAGAAGAAACAAGGTTAATGACTGGTGAAGAACAGCCACTTTCGATGGGATAATACAGGTATGACTACTTAAACTTATTAACTTTTATTCGACCAATTTCTAAACAAGGGTATTTCAATAGGATAAAGAAAGCAAGCCAAAAGTATGGAGAAAAATGGACAAAGGATTTCATAAATGGAGCTGAATCAAAAGAAATGAATCCTATTCTGTCCAGTCTTGATTGCGTTGGGGATTTTTTGGTTCCCTTTGTTAGTAAACTTGAAGTTATTGGCCATCAAGTGCTGATGGTGAAGGCAGTTGTAGGGCCTGTGAAAATCAGCTGAGCCCAAGTCAAATAATCTTGCAGTTGGACCACTTACTATCGAACAAATCATCGACTCTCGTCAAGGTCAAGGACAACCAACGCATATCAGTTAATCGTACGCCATGGACTGGCCAATACGGTAGTAGTATTACTTTCACTCGTATCTACTTTAACTAATATATTTCTGTAATAACGTCCTCTGTGTTGTACAGTCTTTAATGCATCTATATTACCTTGATACGTCAATGGGTTAGTCCACGTAAGGTGCTGACCACGAGGTGTGACTTCGACGTTAGTTGGTTCGTCACACCATTCCCATCTAACTAGAGTAGGTCTCCAATCATTTCGATACAGATCATCTACGTCGATGATCTTGTTGGGATATTCAGGAAAGTATCCCAGAAATTATCCTTTTAGGTCTAATGCTATTCTTGGACTTGGACATGGTATGATTTTCTTATTGGTCAGTACTTATTTCACGTGCTATTTTCCTACTGGTCAATATTGCACAATGTTATTTTCTATTTTATGGTGCGTTGTGGTCTGATTGATTGGTATATAAACAAAGTATGTTTGAAATATAATGATTCATATATCCGAGGCTGTGGCTTGCGTTCTGGACTCAACTGCTGGGCTAGACAGGGAAGCGGGGCCAATCAGAACCCTAGGTCGTTCTACGTGGTCCGATCGATAATTCGCTACCCTCAAATCTGCTGCCGCACAGTTATAACAGATCTACACAGTTATTTCATTTTTGTGAGGCAGAAAAATTTGTTTGTTTCAGGTTATTTATGGTTAAGGAGGAGACAGCCAACCAGCAATATTGGTTTCGTTCTCTTATTATTGCTATTTCTTATACACATGTTTTCTGTTTTACACCTGCTCTGCTAATCTCCTAAGACAACCCATAATCCTAGCTCATGCAATTAATCTATGATGAAACGAGCGGAATTCACTGAAAATGGGGTAATAAAAAACAATAGATAGTAAATAATAAAGTCATTAGAGATCCCAAACCTTTTGCTCCTTTTCAGTGCACTGTGAGTTTTAGTGAACAGTCTTCCTGTTCCCAACTTCGATTTTACCCCTATTATTCAGACCCTTTTCATCTTGTTCCACTTTACGACGCGTTGTTCTTTACTGCCGTATTCGTTTACCTGAAGACATTTTAATTACATTTAGTCCTAACAACAGCAACTAGTTTGAGTTTTGATCACTGATTTACCATGCCTTTGACTGTTTCACTAAAGACCATCGAAGACTGTTCAACTTTTAAATCCAATTGAATTGATGCTCCTTTGCTGGGCAGAGCCATGAGGCTTCTTCTTACGTCTGTAACACAAACCCATAGTATGTACTTGTCAATGTCGCAAACAATGCAAAGTGCCTTCCAACCATTGTTTCATGACAGCTATAAATGTGATAAGCTGTCCCGCTACATAAAATCAGAAATAACTTCGCAAATCCTGCATGTTTGATTAAATGATGTTGATTTGATACGTGTAACAATGTTATCTGAAAATACATAATTATTGCTATAAGTTCAAACTGGCATCCATATTAAACAGTTCCAGGTAGCCAAAGCTGCCTGCAGAAAATACTTCGTGTCAGTGAATTAGCCAATGAATTTCATGGTTTGTTGGCATGGAGAATATTTATTCCAGCTAATCAATGTACACTGGGACGGTTGCATTTGATTGTCTGGAAACGACGAAAGAAAATTATTGTTCCTTCAAAATCCTATGTGACTGCCTTTGATTTCAAAATGTTATCATTCTTTTTCATTTTCCAATGCTGCTTTTCCTTTACCTGCTTCATTGACCTCATCATGATTTTCCTCTGCACCTACTTTCTTGCACTGTACCTTCACTCACTCAAACAAAACTTGCTACTTTGAAGAGATTCTAAACAGCAAAGAACATCTTCCTTGTCAATAGGTCACAGTTAGGATTAAGGAAGTGCTCGAAAAGCTTGTGCATTGTGTCTCATCATAAGTTACCCACAAATCCCATGCAACTCATGTCATTAATTCATTTGTCTTGAGTATTTTGTAACTGACGATTAATCAAGTACTCGATAATGTTGATATTACTCTCCCATGTATAACGCTTCTTAAAATCATGTTTTCTTCAGTATATCGGTTTCACTATTCCATCCAGTCTGCGCTTAAGCGCAGATTAAACGGTTGGCATTCGGTATCAACAACAAAGCAGAGCAATATATAGAAATAGACTATGATGAAAATTTCACTTTAGTTTCCGAAGTTAACAAACACTTATTCCATTTTGCTCTTCATCCTCACGTCCATCATTTATACCCTGTTTCACGGTTATAATCCTCCACACCTTCATTTAGTTCTTATGGTTAGTCTGAAGTTTCTTCAGTGATGGTTTAATTTTAAATTTCAGTTCTATCTAGCAATCAAACAACTTGATTTGTTCCACTGCTAACAACCAGGTTCTGTTAACCATTTGTTATCTTAATTTTTCAGCACAAAGTAACTCACAATTATGAAAATTGGGTCATATTTGCTTTTGTCAATTTGACGGTCTGTGCAAGGTAGCATCTTTGAACAGATAATAACAACCGTAAATTCCTAGCCCATTATTAACACACAAACCTATAAATTAACTTTTAATGTATCTGCTTCAATATTCTGTTACATATATTCACATCTTTTATAGCTCTATCTGGTTGGTAGCTATATATCCATTTTGTAAATTATGGATCAGGTCTGTAAAAATTTCATGTAATTTTCGTATTAAAACTATATTAGTACAGCGAATAATAAATGTTGCCTCTCTAATTTCAGAGTGGATGTTCTTTATTTTACAGATTTTATGACACCCGCTCTTCCTTAAATGTATTCCTGTAGCTTGAACCTGTTTCTTCGTAAATGTTTTTGCATATTAGCTAGTCGGTCGTCATTTACATTTAGCATCTTCAAGGACAATTCCATTAAATCGGTCTGCTCTTAAATACACAGCAAATTTAGCAAGTAATGGTTGGATGAAACATAATGTTTTTGATATAGCTCTCCACTCAAATCACAATTGGCCCGATAAAGCCATGGGTAACTCGCACATACTTTTTTTGGGACCAGCTGATATGGCCAGAAGCACTCCAAACAACGATGAAGTATATACATTTCAGAGTGTATTATCAAATGCATGATAAGTTAAGTCGTTCAAATTAGCCTCAGAACATATTTTTGTACAGCTAACAACCACACAATTTTCTGTTTCTTTCACGTTTATAAAACTGCAATCCTATAGATTGCAAAGTGAGTGATTTTATGAATGACTTTTAATATCTTCACAAGATTTAGACTATACCCTTGCTTATTATGCTTCTGGAAGTTTGAATAACATTATATAACGCTACATACTAACTGATCTATTTTCTAATGACATTCACATGTAGGAGTTAGACCAGTCTATAAATCATGTCCCTGGTTGCATTACATCTTCGGTTTCCAAACCACCGGCCTGTTCTAATGTGCATCGCGAATGCATACTAGTAAAATCAAAATTGTTCATTCATTTTGGCTGAAAATGTGTTACTTTTATGATATCAGAAACTACCTTATGCAGAATATTCATCCAAATGCCATTCAAACATGGGCTTACATGAGATGGGAAAGCTCTTGGTACCAAAGTTATTAATACAAGATCTAACGCACGTCTAACGCTACAGTAAGAATAAATCGCGAAATATCCTCTCAACCCAAGTTACTGGTTAAAAGATCAAACGATTGAGTCAAAATGCTGTGTTAGTAAGAGGTCTTAGTCACCTTATGACATACAGGTATCAGTTCTAGAGTTAAGCTGTCATGTGACTACCCGTTCTCAAATTATAAGTATAAATTTGAATCTTTGAATATATTCATAGTCACGTCATGTAGACAACTTAAGGTACTCATAAAAGATGGAGATAACTGTACATAGTTTATATCATAGTAGAACAGAAAATGAAAATGCACGTTATTTTGTTTAAGTCAACTAGTCATTTTGTACTCTATGGTCCCCAATTATGCAGATTCTTAAATATCCTCACATGTTTTCTAAATAAATGGATGTAGAAGTTTTACAATCAGATGAAAATTGTAAAAGTGAGGAGACGGAAGAGAAGTCTTTTGTTGCTGGGATTATATCAGACGCAGTGATCACACGTTCTTGTTCTCTTGACCTCAAGAACCGTAACCTAAAAGAAATTCCTGATAGAATTTCTGACCTACCAAATCTACAGGTTGGTAATGATTCACACAAGCTAACAAACGTGATATAGAAATTATATATCTCGGATAACTGTCTTAAATCTATATCGCCTGACATATTGAGAGCTCTCAGTCAACTTCGTTGGCTAGACTTACGTGACAATAACTTAACAAGTATTCCACCTGAAATCAAACACCTAGAGGAACTTCAGACATTACTTTTAGATAATAACAAAATTAAAATTCTTCCCCCTGAGCTTGGTAAATAGTAACATTGTGGTGAATATTTTAGGTCTGTTAAAAAAATTGTCTGTTCTACATCACAGAAACAATCCAATTGAATTTCCCCCTAATGAAGTATTGAGTAGGGGAACGAAACATATTGTGAAGTTTTTACTTGACTGTTACTTGAGCTTGGTGAATACAGAAACTGACGAAGGTAAGCTTTCACTCGGTGATATTAATTTTACTTGATGCTTCAAGGTATGTGAATACATGATAATGTCATATTATTTTTTTAAACACCTCGTCACATTTACTATCAGGGCAGACTTTACATTGCTGTGAAGTATTCGCGTATATAACATTTTCCGTACGGATCGCTAGTTTTAAGGAACGACAATAGAATTCACATGCTTTTGTTATAAAATTACTTAATAAATCCACATTGACGTTCGGTCGATGTAAATATTGTCGCTTACGTCATCTTCAGATGAACTTAAAAACAAAATTTCGGTTATCTAACTTACCTTCTTTAAGAAAGGAACATTTTAACAATTCATTGAACAGATTGTGGCGTTAATTATTGTTGAAACGTACTTGATACGCATGTTAGTTTTTTTGGTCTCTCAATGGACAGGCTGTTTTTAAAAAGAGCAGACAAATATGACTCAGTTTACTGGAGGAGATCATATGATTATGATTATCACATTCATAAAAAATTTTGTCACATATTTTCTATCATTGGTGTTAGGAGTAAGTTGCGTTTTGTAAAAGAGTAGTCGAGTAACAGGTAAGTCTGATACATCGTTTGGTGTTAAGTTGAGAAATTTATCCTGTTAGGTATGTTTTATTGTTGAAAATAAACACAGTTTTTACAATGATCTGTTTCTGTTTCCAAAAAATAAGTGTTTGGCGCTTTTTCTGAACCACAACATTTCGTCCTACACCTTTGATCTTCGTCCCAAAACGTTTTACAACTTTCTATGTGGTGTTCGTTTCTTCCGGTGTTTTCAAAAATGTTGATTGCACTAACACAGTTAAGGGTGGTGTGCTTAACGTCTATGACATTTATAATACTTGCTCTTTGTATTGAATTTGTTTCTGTATCATATTGTTATGATCTTACGGTTTCACAGATTTCTCTAAAAGCATTTTTTATCCCTAGTATTTTATCTAAGTAGAATGAGTCAAGTGAACAAGTCAATAAATAACCATGATATTTTCCGGTTTATATGAAGTACTGATATTAAATTTTACACCTATAAGACCGTCTTTCTCTTAGTTTATGCGTTAACGTTTTAAGATATTGATGATTAGACTTACATGAGATGCACTTCATGGCACTACTACAAATAATATACAGCAAACTTTAGTGAAGTACGAAATGTTAGACATTTTCAGGAAAAGTAGGTCATGCACTATAATTATCAAACTGGGTTTAAGTGTTCATCGTCAATAATGTTTCTATTTCAGTTTTTAATCGCCTATAATCATAGGGTACAGCAACATTATTTTACAGACTTCCCCCTCCATTTATCTTAACATGGTCATATTTCTACCGGATTATGATCTATTTTCCAGGCTCTAGTCCACTTGAATATAGTACAAAGAATACTGAGAATTTGAAAAATGACGGCCATATCAATGTTCTACAAACAGAACAACTTGTTACGGACGGTATCAACCATAATAACACTGAATTTACTGATTTAATAAATTCTCTGAATAGTGTAAACCTCAGGGATAAACAAACGCTTTACTCTATGAGAGGCATGCATAATTCCATGGATCTAAATCACAGTAGTCCGATTTTTCCTAGGCTCGAGCGACCCTATTCTGCTGATGTCTTATTTTCCGATATTTTACAAAATGAAAGCACTAGTCAAAAATCAGATGAGTCAAAGAAGATAAAAAATTCCAATCAGGTTATGGGACGGTCAGAATTATTAAGTGTGGGAAGTATAACAAATGCAGATAATGATTCAATTCAATACTACGGACAGAAAATTAATGGCTCATCCTACTCACGGGTTTCCAGTAAATCAAAAATTTACAAAAGAATTCAAAGTAATTATTTAAAGTCTAAACGTTACACTTCAAAGTCAGATAAGTGAGTTTAATATTTTAATTAGTGAGTAAATGTATTATTGCAATAAGTCAACCATGAACCAACAAAAACAATGAGAATTGAATACTGAAAAGTCTGATTAACTAGAATCATGACTGTTGAGTTCCTGCGAGTAAAAATATGTTAACATTTTGCAATATTATGGAGTTCGGTCTAAATAAATAAACAGACTTCAGAAACGATTTTTCAGTCTTCGATAAATTGACTAATTTATAACGAAAATGAACTTCTGTCAAAAAAGGAATAAAAAACAGCGTCCTTTTAGAGAAGTTGGGTTTTCTGAGTTGGATGGTTTATTCCTTGAACCTTTATGGTCTTTCTGGACAATGCACTCAGTACAAGTTTCTGAATGAAGTAGACTACTTAAATTTTTATACATATCCTAACGGTTTATCTTGTCAGCTTTAGGTTTGTTTGTTTGTTGTCGACCCATTTCCTATCAGTTTTTGCACGTTTATTTTAGCAATCATTTCATTTGACGTGATTATTGACCTTATTGTTATTCATAGTAGCTGAACTTTATCTGAGGTTTGTATTGTAAGTATTGTCCGGAAAGACAACATGTAGTTCAAGACTAAACCAACCAACTTTACGAATTCAATTCTACCGAAGTCATTCTATCGGGCTATAAACAGCTAATTATTTTAAGCGGTTGAATGTAATTTACAGGAAATCGTTTACAGAAGTCTCTTGTTAGTTGACACGTTTTGGTAAAATGTGCCTTCAATCTCAAGTGGGTTGATTCCTACCTTGGATTTAAGTCAAACGTATCCCATGCCACAGTATGACGGATACCGCTGACCTGTTTAGATGACAACTGATCTCCTTTAGGAATGAGATATTTACATAGATTGATCGCCAGGTTTTAATTACTGTCTGATTTTTCTGGTCCTAAACGGTAGTTGAATTCTATTGACCAAGTTGCAGTATGGCCGCCAGGTCAATCAACTTAACACTGTGTGCACTGTGTTTTGTTGTCAATAAGTTAGAGCTGAACAAATGTGACATCTTAAATAAATAATATATTTGTAACAATCTACCCAATGCTCAATTTATTCAAAATTATCAAATCAAACCTTGGTAATGATACATACAAATATGATATCGGTTTGCACACAATCAATCCAAATAAACTACCTTACTTACATTTATCGGTCACTCGCGTTTGCAAATATCACCCTAAGTAATTCCCGTGGGATAAATTTTATTTTTTGACATGGTTTTGAAAACTGATAATCGATTTTAAATTCAAGGTATCGTAGGAAGTTTAAGTGATGTTCTTTTTTCAAGTCCACGCAGATAACTTGATAAGGACATATAAATATTAAGGCCTCAATTTACAATACAAACAACAAGTTTATCGTTTTTAACCACAATGGGTTATAAAAACTTTCACTCGGCTGTAGATACTGTAAATTCTATAAGGAAAGACTTAATATACTTGTCTTAGGATTTAGATATCCTATAATTTTTTTCACATACACTTCTGTTTTCTCCGTTTTTTAATTATTTTTGTCCCGCGTTTTGTGCATCGTAAAGCGTGTTTCTTACTAAATAAGATCTTGATTTGTTGAATTTAAGAATAATATTATCATCAGTACTAATTATATTGACATTTATATTGTCTGATTTTGTTTTTCAGTTCATTGTTATGTAAACTACCCAGTCAAACTAGCCGGCATAAAGCTTTTTTGTTGGAAGACCCACCACAACCGACTTTAGAAAAAATACGTCTGATTTATAAGCGAGAACAAAAACGAAAAGCTCGTAAGGAGTTAATGTTGAAGCAGGCATCAGAAATACAGCGCATGAAGTAGGTTATTGTTACAATAAAAAATACAGTGTAGGTGAAGTAAGATGTTCTTAATAATTTTTCAATCGAATAAACGTTTTCAATTTGCTTAGAGTAACGGTTTGTCAACGTGAGATTAAGGTAGAAAAACACCAGTGCTTGTAGAAACAACCAATCGGAGTGTCTTTAATAAGTTTTTATATAACACAATTTATCTCAATTGAAATCACTAGCAGTTCTTTTTTTCTATCGAAGATTATCAAACATTTTGAGCTCGTTATTTTTATTTCAATCGTAATGACAAAAATAAATCATTGAGGACATATCTAATATATTTGATTTGATTGCAGCATAAATTGGCTTTAAATCTATTGAGTATAGTTATATTAACAAAGAGTGAAGGACATATGTTTCTTCAAGAGAAGGACCTTGAAGAATGAAGCTGTCAAGTATATACTTTATAACTGTATATTTACGTAAACGTAAGGGATATTTTGTAGCGGTTAAGATTTTTCCTAGTATAATAACATAGGCATACTCGACATTCAGATATTTATGTATTGAACCTATGGAAGTTAATTCGACCGAATACTTGATGTGTAGTGAATGGTACGAATAATGCAAATTTGTAGAATCCTATCGGTTAATTAAGTTGGTTTTGTTAACGAATTTGAAGTTTTCTGAATATTAACTTACATTCATCAATACTGAAGTTCTATTTTTGGCTCTTGTTTGTTCATTTTTGCTGGTCCGTTGGTGTTGAGCCCTGTTGACAGTGTTTGAAGCAAAGGACGATGCAAGAATATCAGTCGGAATTAACTCTACAGTTTACTCATGTCATTATTTTGTAAACGTTTCCGTAAATAATTTCTAAAGACAATCATCGTTTTACTCGATCAGATGTGGCTGGTGATCTTTTGGCAGTAAATGGTATCTTACATAATCTCTAGGTAATTGGTGGATAAGCTCATGAATAGTGTTCTAAAGTCAAGTTTTGAACTTTATTATCTCAACGGAGATGGGCATGTTTTTCAAAAAGTCACCGAAGTAGTATGATCAACCGTGTAATTATAATGACACTACAAGTAAAGTCAAAACGTTGGCAAACAATATGTAATTTATATTATAGACTAGAATGAATAGTTAAAGATCACAGTAAAATATCGAAAACAAGTTCAACCAAAGTGTATGTCGCGAGTCTTTCAGTATGGTCCTTCGACTGTCAACATTGACTAGGAATTTATCCTGTCATTTGCTTACATATCTTGCCAGTGGCTTACAATAGAAATTATTATTACAACCATCAGCATAGATGAATTACGGCTAGCAGTAGAATACAGAACGCGCCTTTCGTCTTATTTGGTACTCGTTCGCTGGATGAGCCTAGAGTCCTAGATATCAGTTGGAAAATTCAAAAACCTAAAACAAATGGTTTTAACTTTACTGTATTTGACAAACTAGTGGATATCTGGGCTCAGCAACTAACTGGATAATGCAATGATGTTTGCAGTCATCGGTACTGAGTTTGGGGAACGGAATGAACACCAACTCTGTAATGCAGATAAATCCGGCTGACAAACCCTAAAATGAGACGAAGTGACGCACGTTTTGGGTTCCACTGTTAGCCATCACCGATCTCTGCCTAAAATGTTTGTGAACTGCTGGTAATATCGAAGCGATCCCTACAGGATGTACACATGCCATAGATCGATCAGTTGCAATCCTAAACATCACTGAAAGGATTCAAACAGTCAATACAAGTGAATTATCATTATTATGGACAGATTATTAGAAGTACACTTTTGAACTTTACCGCTGTAATCATTTGTTTGGTAATAAATCTTATCTTCACTTTCCAAACCTTACCAATTTATTAAATATAGATTGCCTTGGTAAATTTACTGTATCATCTACGATACCAGTTTTTCTTATCATCTGTGATAAATCATGATTTTCATTGAAGAATTTTTCCTTGATATGTATACAGCGAGATTCGTTCTCATTATAGCCAAACAGAAGGTTGAATGGACGAATGTAGTTATTACCTAAGCTTTTTGAATTTTCGGAAGTTAACCTTATTCTTCACTATTTCTGTTGTAATATTTTCTATTGATTCGTTGATTTCCTTCAAACTTACCGTCGTGATAAGCGATAATTTGAGTCATTGTATATATTTCAAATGCAATGTATCTTTATTCATAATACTCTCTTATAAAAACTAAAGATTCATCTATCTTATATAAAGGAATCAGTAATAATTATCAACATCCCCGTAACAACTAGAATGATTTCAGTAGAAATACATCGGATTGTACAATTCAGTCCGATTTGGCTTCTAGTTATATCAATAAAATCATTTTTTTTAAATGAATAGATCAAAATTATTTTGCTAAACATTTCAAATTATACTTAATAAAGGCATTCTATTCAAGAAAATGATCGATTTTTTTTCATATTTTCTCTTGGTTCAAGAAACGCTAGTTGTATTTCAGACTGGCGTGATGATTATACCTTATATCAAAAGACGAAACTGTATGAATATTTAAAAAAAACATATGGGGAAATAAAAGAAGGTAATTCGATTGTCAAAATTTATGATGATGAAAATAATTATGCTTTTGTAAACTGCTTGATAATATTGGTGTAAATGAAAGTTTCTTAACTTTGTTATAATAATATATGGATTTGATATATGTTTTGAATGAGTAGTTGAAAAGTTCTCATCCCAAACAATGTCTTATGCTATACTTAATTACCGAAAATTCGATGGCTGGGTATTTTGTTTGTTTAGAGATGGACTCGTCAAGTTTATAAAAATACATTTGGATTTAATGATCAAATGGCTAGATCTCTTATTTTTGATACAGTCATGAAGTAGAGTGACTTCAAGTAAGGTTATATATTCCGATGTTACCCAGTCTCATATGACTATTTGAAAGCCGTTAGGTATTATGTAGAACTATGATTTATTCTTGAAATCAAATGATTCAACTACTCAAAATTGCTTTCGCCTCAGCTATTTATTCGTACTTTGTAAAGGTTTTTAAAGCATGATATGTAAGAAAAGAGGTAATGTGCATTAGCGAATTAATCTGAAATATATCTGGACATACAATTACTTCAATCACCTTTTTTTCAATCAGTCGATTAGTGTTAATGAGAATCGTAATGTTGTCAGGCTAATACATTTACACTTAACTGACGAAAGACGTCAGCTCGAAGGATAGGTTGCCGGAAATGAAATACTACTTGAGATTGACGGAATAGAAGAAAATGTTTATAGAGAATGATAATTTTTTCTGGAGATTATACCTGCCGTTACCAGCTTTGAGTTCAAGACAATTAAAATGATTTTTTTCCCAAACTTAAGTAAGCTCGTTAAATTTGTTTCCTCTGGACTATTTAAACTTGTGTTAATTTTATTTCGGTTATTTATTTGCTCTCAAGAAAAGGTTTTCATTAAGTCACGAAATGTCAGAAATATAGTTTTCTATTCATTGGGATATAAATATATGTATTATTAAGCTCGTTAACTGTTCGACCTTTGAATTTCAATTCACAAAACGAAATCTATTCTTGATCAACGCTGGTAATCCTTTCTTCAATGAACTATTTACACTGTTAGTTGAGGAATGTAAATGAAAGAAAACTCTCTATTTTAATTAACCCTACTTTTAAGTTGTACGTTTTGTATATGCCTTCTGTTGGTTGAGAATCGAAGAGACTACTTTTCTTCGCTTAATATTTAGCTTTGTATAAATATTGTATACAATTTCACTCTGTTATTGAACGATTGAGTTAATGATTCTATTGTGAACAAACAAAATGTCGTTGATTCATCTTCTTTAGTGGCCGTAAATAAGATGATATTTTTAAGGTGTTTATTGTTCACCAGCGTTTCAGGATACGTTTGACTGTTTTATAATCTCTTTCTTACGGTTATAACCCAGCTATTCCCATTGCTTAGTATTCTTGGACACCAAATCACTCGACAAGTCCCCAAATCAGAACACGGCTGAACAGGAAAGAGATTATACTCCAAATAACAAGGTTAGATGGAAGCAAGAAGCAAGCAAGAAGCACAATAGGGAAAACGTCAGTATATTTATAGTTTTTACATGGGAAGATTCTAGAGTATTCTCCAACTATCGACTAGTGCTGATTGGATAAGAATTAGCCAATCAGCGTGCACCGAAGCAATCGTGCATTGAGCATGCTTTAATACAGTCTATGTCCCGCTAACAGACTGTAAATCTCTTCATTATACTGTTTACATTCCCATACATTTTTAATGTTAAAAAGAGTAAATATGAAAAGAATGATACTTTCAGTGTAAGTTACGAATATGTCTAGTTTGTGTGATGGAATAACCTTGTCGAGGAAGCAGATAATTAATTTGTGAAAGTAAAGATGCTAAGACCATTTTTCTCTTAAGTGGATGAAAAAATATTGACCATACTGTAAATATGTTTTTAATCATTTAGTTTTCAGTCACGGAATTTTCCTGTTATATATTGTAAGGAGTTTGTTTTATACACTATTTCAAATAAAGCAACTTTAATAATGAGCAATTCTGAATATTCTTCAGTAGTGTATAGATACTTCAACTAAAGCCTTTAAACAACTAAAGACAAGTCATTTGTGTATAGGCGGTGTGTTATTAATCCACTATTTTAAACAGCGTTTTTGTGATAAAAGCATCTGGATAACACTAAACTGCTTCATATTACAAATGAGTTCTAACATAAAACATTTGCAAATAGTGTGTTTTTCTTCCAAGCTTGTATAAGTTTCTTGAATATGTTAGATGTAAATCTTTCGAGGCAACGCATTTTAACACTGTTTAGAAGGTATTTATGTTGTCATCTTATCATTCAACTGATAAAACTAGATTTTCTAACGATAAGGCTACAACAACATAAAGTGGTATCAATGATCACTGACCACATAATGATAAATGCTTTCTAATATCTATTTTTTGTATAGATGAAATTTAATACTTAAATATTTCTGGTGTTTTGTCTAATCATATATTTAACTTTATATATTTAATAGAAGCTGATCAAAGAATTATCAGTGGACCGCTTGATGTAAACAAAGACCATTTAAAGATGATTGACAGTAGTGAATTGAATAGCTTACGTAAACAACCTATTAAAAAAGAGCGTCCTGCTAATTTAGATTCAGCTACTGTGCTGCAATTGGAATTAGCAAGGTATGCAATTTATGCTTTTTTATGTTTGACTAAATTTTATAAATCTGCATCTAAAATATGTGGCGTAAATTTCACTGTAAAGTACAATTACTGCGGAAGTAAGCTTTACATCATGAATGTACATAATTTACTAGAGGTTGATATCAGTACCTCATTGTTTTATATTATTTTCTGATATAAAAAAGTGGTTTTTGTTACTTAAATTTTCCGGAAAACTAGTGAATTATTCATCATAATAAATGAATAAATAAACTATATTTTGGAAATAATTACAGAATGATTGTTAATTTACAAGCATGATCAGGTTGATAGAGAAACCAACGTTACATGTAAAGTAGAGAAATTTAAGGTTAAATTGTTTGAATAGATTGAATTCATAAATTGTTTTGAGAAGACACTTCTCCTATGAATTATAGTAATTTCAGGCAACGGTTGAGAACCAGTTATTGTTAGTGGGAGGAATAGAACATTCTTTTGTTACATGAATAGTATATCAAGTAGTAATTTCAGCGCCACTACAGAGTAATTGTAGTCCTTTACAACTAGACAGAGCACAGAATAACAACACTATGAGTTGATGTGATAGGTTTGCAGTTATGCAAGTGCAAAGTTATTTTATGATTTACTATCTTAGATAGATATTATTTAAACTAGTCAAACTAACAAGGGACAATGTGATTGCAAGATATCCGTAGGAAGAGAAGTTTGATAAGTAGTAAAAATGACTAGACGTTTAATGTCCCAACATTTTTACTGGTAGATGTAAGCACTTTTAGGACTGTTTCAGAATATAGGTAAACACCGATGGAACAAACAGATGATGCTGATGACTTTATTTTGTGAATAAATTGCCGCAGGTTATTCTAGGGTATCAAAAACTAACTAGTAAAATGGTCCGTTTGGTGAGGAGATTTAGTATGAGACAGTTTTACAAATGATAAGTATTACGAGTGCCTATAAATAAGAACTTTTTCATACTGGATTGCATCAGTGGATGCAACAGATAGTTTATCTAATATTTTTAAGCGAAAGGTTAAATTTATCAGAAGTCGCTGCTCCTACAAGGGCCAAAGTTCAAGCCTAACTCTTCGGGATTTGTATTTTAGGGCACAGTCATTCCCACTTGCGCGGATTGTAAATCATCATTGGAGAAATTCCGATCTTAGTTTATCCTCTATGCAAGCACTACTAAAGATAAAAGGTCAATATTCTAACAGTGGTCAGACACATAATTTGTATATCAAAATGAGTGAATCATTGTCATCGAGGTTACGAAGTATATAACCCAGAAGTCATCAAGAATTGAAAGTCAGTTTTGAGACCTGTTCTGAGAAGGACAAATTGTGGGAATGCTTTGGCCCTAAATCCCCGTTGTCGTAAACTTAGACATCACCTTACTGTTTATGTTGAGATCTAGTGTGAAGAAGGGATTAGATAAGCATGTCAATCCACATTCGGTAATGTCAGTTTCCGAGTTTCATTTTAACCACTACTGATCGACCTTATTGAGCCTATATTGTTTTGTATATTGTTTAGTTCATGATGAGGAAACATATACTACTTAGAGATCATCTGCATGCATCAAAGGATAAGGAATTGCAGGTATCGTTTATGTAAGCCATATAGAGCTTAGGACTTGAAAAACTACCTTGTATTACCTCAATTGTGACTGAGATAGGATTCGATAACTAAGTGTTTATTTTAACTATTTGATGTCAGTGAATGAAAAATGAATTGAGTTAAGCAATCAGAGGGTCTCTTGCCCTATAAGATGTAAGTTTTTTTACCGTAACTATTTGATCTAGTCTATGTTGAGTAAAGGATTCATTATTGAAGTTAACATGACAGGTCATATAAGATCTAATTCTTAGGAAGCCATGCTAGGAATTAGTGATAAGCTTTTCAGTGAACAAAAAGCTGAAAAGTTCATCACCAACAATCCTCTCATCATCCTAGACATATTTATGCCACACAGATTATTTAATTGATTTGATTTTCTGTTGTTTTCTAAGTTCACAAGTATGTTTCTCTTTGAGTCCATCACAGACCAACGATTAATTAGTTTCAGTGACGTAAGAATTTGAAAAATTATATTTTTCTTACTTCTCTTATCTTTTTTGGAATCCCAACCTGATACTCAATAGATATTTCATTTTAAACGAAGTTGTCCTGTAAGCATTATAATTATAATCGATATTAAGTAGTATACACATAATGATTTTTTCACTTTTACAGTAGCAGTAAGTAGACTTTTATTTTCCATAATCTAGTTCCCCAATAACTTCCCTTTCGACTTTTCATAAAATTTATTGAAAATTGTTAACCAATATAAACAAATGATTGGGTGAATATATTTTTTTATAGTAAAGCTGAATTTAATGTTGAATTTTTCTCAATTCTTATTTATTTTCCCTCATAATTTTCGGAAGTCTTATCATATGCAACTTCCAAAGTTTAGTCATTTTGATATCATTAATACTGTGGATAGCAGCCATTTTCAGCTTCAAAGCTTCTCATGATGAGCTTAATGTCAGAATGCAAGATATGCTTGTCTAGAAGAATAAATATTTGCGAAAATATGATTTTCTATGTGTCTGATGATACTTTAGTTAGAAAATGTTTATGTATGATATACAGAAGAAAAATTTAACGATTGAAACTATTGTATCTGTACAATCGATGGTAAGACCTTCAAACTTCGTATAGATTAACCTTTTATTTGTACAGAGAGAGAAATAGTACTTCCTTCAATGAATTAAAAACGTGATAGCAAATTTCATCAACGAATACCGTTTTCGATAGTTAACTTGTACATAAATACTCTGCCTACTAAATTATTAGGTAGTAGCATCAATCGTTCCCTTGTTTTTTGTTCACAACATCAAGTGTACAGTTTTTCAGTCGTAATAGAAGTGCAAACTCCACTGAATCAAAAAATGACTTGAGTTTAGATCTGTTAAGCTCTTCATATGTATTTTGTTCAAGAGTTATGTGAGATTAATAGCCAACAGCATTTACATGGTCGGTAAATAAATAATCGACACATAGTATATCATTTTTAGAACGATCTTCATTACTGATCAGCATGAGAGAGAAAATATAAAAAGCCGTAGAGTACTCAACATCTCTTCTATTGTAGCTTGAGACATCTAGTGGTTTAAATTTCTCAAAGAGTTTTACCCACAATTTGCAGATTTCTACCACTTTTATATTGTTGTGTAGAAAGTATTTCATTTAACTTATTATTAATGTTTATAAGTTAAAAGAAAAGAATTTTAGAATCTCAATCACTAAATTCTTTAAAAAATAAGTTCGTTTAATTTATTTTTTGGTCTGCTTTGTAGTTTTGAGAGAGATGCTTGTTTAACAAAACGAGTTCACGAACACACAAAAGAAATTCTGGAACGTTTTAAACTTCCGGTTATTCCAACTCATGATGCTATTAGATCAGAATTGTTAACTGCCAAGAAAAGTATGGATGAAGTAAGCTTTCGAATGTTATACATATTTGTTTATCTTTCATATAAAGCTGGTTATAAATTCACATTAACTGAATATCACTTACCGCTTCTCTCAATTGTTTGAAAAGCTTGAATTCAATCGATCAGTCAGCAGCAACGTTGAGCCTGACAATCACGAATATCTGTCCAAGTTTCTACACTCTATTAGCATAGGTAGATGAGTTCATCACAATAAATGCCAGATTAAGAGATACAGTTTTAGTATTAATTGTAGCTGAAAGGGTTAAGCGAAAACAACACAATTTATAAGGAAAGATTAAATTCAATGGATATCAAATACAAGATAACTTTTAAAATTGAAGTCTAAACGAACAAAGAATTGATTCATCTGAGCCATTGTTACCGATAATTTAGATTCATTCTTTTGTTTATTGAACCTGTGAAATATTGTTTCAAAGAAATAGTGATTAAACTATAGTGCCATATTTATTTTGATAATAATGACCCACCAACATGTCGAGTTTATTATCAGATTATGTAATTTAGCAGTTTCTTACACTTTTAGGCTTAATTTATTCAACCTAATTAATATTGTCCTGTCCTATAAACTACTCTACCATGAGTCCATAAATAGTTGATAAAGGGTAGTAACTAAAAATTCAATAGCAAATTTACTTATCTCTGAAGTATATATTGTTCGAATGATTGTTTAATTAAGATTGCAACAAATAGTATCACATATTATATCCAATATTCACATAAACCTGAAATTTTGAACATTACTGTAAAGAATTAAAAATTATAAATATTATAGTACTTATTTAGCAAAACACAAAAACTTACAGTTAAACTAATGTCTTTCTAGACATATAAGACTGTCGATTGGATCTAAATCTTATCCATGATAGTAAATGAGTGGAAATTTTTGAAACACATTATAGTTGATATTTTTTATTGAACAAGGAATAACACAATTCTGTTTTAATTACATATATTAGATGCCGGCTCAGTGGTCCAGAGGTTGAGCGTTCTCGCGCAAGAACAATAAGTCCTAGGTTCGAATTTCACGGGGCGGGATCGTAGATACGCACTGCTGAGGAGTCCTGCAATAGGACGAAACGGCCGTCCAGTGCTCCCGGGTTTTTCACGGTGGTCTACCTTCAATCAACTTATGATCTCAACTATTAAAATTACTACAATATCTACAAAACCCCTCTGGTATATATGTGTATGTACATATATACGTAGTGTTGACCGTAGTAGTGAATCAGCAGACGTTTTCAGAAAATTTTAATGCGGAATTCGTGTAGTGCAGTCCTTATCATAAAATAAATTTTATGAATGATGAAATTGATTAAGAAGGATAAGAAGTTAAGGAAAACACTGCAATGAAAATTTAATTTACGATTTTCATACGTAGATGAAAAAGGTCGTTTCTAAATGAGAAAAAAACTTCAGTGATATAATAAAGATAATACTCTTTATAAAATGAGTACAGTTCATGAATTTGCATTAAAATATTTAGAATGTTATACATTAAAACAGAAACTGCCCCCAAGTGCTCTGGTACGGCCGAGAGTGAGGAGAGTCAGCTCTAACTCTCGAAATGCTCTCACATAGCCACGTGCATACAACCACTGACAGGAAAGTCCTACTCACTGCCTTCCCGCGGCGAGGGTGTTGTTTACGAAATTGAGAGGACGAAAAGAGAATCCCCGGCCCTTTACCCGGGCTGGTGGACACAGTGGGTCTACCTAGTGGGGTCGGGAAACCTTTATTCCAAACCACTGGTGCACATAGGTTCTAGTATCATAAATGAAGCAAATAGTGTATGAACCAATCTCTGGTTACCGGCTATCATGAAACTGCATCTGCTGACGATTCTACAGTGCCTTGTAGTTCAGACCTTTAGGTCGACGGCTCCGAGTGTGACCTCAAAAGAAAACCACCAGTCTCGGTCTGGGCACTCGGGCATTATCCTAGTCCTTTCACAAATCAAATGATTTATGTGACTCATATCTATTTAGTGTCTCCTTGTAATTTTGTTTATATGTTTAAATAAATAAAATAACAAAACAAAAACTACATTGAATGCAGTTTACAGATGAAAAATGAAAAATTCAAACATCGATATGTATAAACATAAAGGAAACTAGAGTCATGGTAGTAATAATAATAATAGTAATAACACTATTATTATAAACTGTTTTCATAATGAAGTGGCTTCACATGCAATCTATGAACAATACTTGAATAAGACACAATCAGTTTTTTTTCAAGAAGCCGAAAATTTATGCTTAGAGATTATATTCTCAAAGAATTTGGTGAACATTTTTCTACTTAAATGTTATTACCAAGGTTTGACTTGATAATTTCGAATAAATTGAGCAACAAACAGATTTCTATTAATAAAAACGATATATTTGTAATATCACAATCGCTAGAAAATTTTTCTGACGTTTCGTGACTCAGTGTAAGCTATTCTTCTTCAGAGAAGTATGAAAATTACACGATGTGTTTGGATTCATTCATATATGGTAGCTAATTTTAGTGTACTTAATTGATATTGAAATTCCAAGGCTTATTTTAATAAAAATTAATTACTGACAAATTGAGTCATTAACCTGTAATCTTGTTATGTAGTATTTGCATTAACAATATTCAAGTTAACAATCTTTATTTATCAGCTGTTATTCAGTTAATTCAATATGTATAGTGTAGTCTGGTACATTGAGTTGTTGATATGATGGAAAGGAAAGTCAATTTTCGATTGATTTACTCATTAAGAGTTTTATTCAATATTACATCCGTTTTTGATTCAACGTGAGGATCATTCAGTGTAGTATTTGATTGTTTTCCCAGTATGATATTTTCTGCTGTATAGTATACGATATTCATGTATTCCATTGACATGAACTATGCTCAGTAAGTGATTTGTTATAACTGAGTATGTGATCTAATCCTAATTATTAATCAAAAGGGGTGTATAATAAATATATAAACCAGTGTATTTTAGACTATTCTGATTCGTCGTCTTAGTGTTTTGGGGCTAATAAATCTTCACTTATACCAGTCTTGTGTTCTTACTTTCACATCGTGGGAATTGCCGAGGTCCCTCGTTCCGAGTATAAGTGATCAGCGTTTATCCGGCACAGCAATCAGCGATGACCAAATATAACAGTTGTATAGTGTTTTAGAGAAATATTAATTTAACACATTTTTTTACCACTTCATCTTAAAAATTACAGGCAAGATATTTGAAAGTTGATGACTACATATTGAGGTGTAGTTTATTAAGTTTCATTATGTATCAACTGTAAACTGTATAAATGTTGACAATAACTGAAATTACAACATAATCAAATGTTTATCATAAATATCTGTAACTGAATTGTTTTTAATTTAATTTTAATAATTATTTCAGGCTATTCGATTACATAGACGTGTACAACAAAGACTCGAGACATTAGGATACTTTCATGGTTCGAATCGACGAGATTTATGGTGATAAATTAACTTGGCAATAAATATTCTTCTTTTCTTACTCATTTCAGTTTTTTTCCCATAAAGGTTACACATGTGCTAATCAATTTTTATTTATTAATAGTTTACTAAGTAATAAACGGTATTTCTGTTAAAGCTTCCTTTTAAAAAAATTACTTTCCTAATATATCAAATCACTTCATATGGTTTTGTTTACATTTGTATAGATCATTTTCGTATTTAGCTAGTGTTTATTTTTTATTTATTTGTTAACTCGTGCAACATGTACTGAATGCTTTATGAATCACACTTAAATAGTGAAATTTAAGTATTCTTCAATATATAAAAATATCATTGTGGTGTATCTATCGAGAATAAAAGCTAAGATAGTGATTACTTTGCAGATGAATTTTGAACGTGACTGATTCACATTAATCAACAAAGTGATCGTCTTAAGTTACTTTAACAACATTAAGACAGAATGATTTGAATTTTTATTGTCAGCTGGGAGATTATCGAGAATTAGAAATGAATCGACAGACATTTGACATCAAAACTCTGTAGTAATGTTCATTTTTGACACTTGGTACGATTAAACACAAGGACCTCAGTTGTTGTAGTTGACAGAGTAAATAAAACTGTGAATAAGGTGAACTACATTTCGACCACTCTGATATGTCACAAAATAATCAGAATTTGGAAATTCAATCCATAGATTGAAATTTTACTTTCAGTCTGAAAAGGACAGTTGTCTAGGTGGCTTTTATTGGTGCTGGCAATCGTGACACCTAAATTGATCAAACTTTCTTTTGAAAGAGTTGACAAATGGAGCTTCAACCACGTGTTGAGGTAATGAATTCTATTTATTGATGATTTGATGGGAAGTCGATAAACAGCTGATAAGTAAATTATTCTGGGCTTGTGAACGTTTTTGGAGTGTACTCGTAAATTCTCTGTTCTAGAAGACAAAAAATGAAGACATCTCAGATGCAAGTTTACTACTAGGTACTTTAAAATTGTGACTTAGTCGCCTCTGATTTGTCTTTATGGCAATCAAAATAGTTTGAGTTTAGCCGGTCGAGCATCATACAGAATCTCAGGTATTTTGGGAATCAGCTTAGTTGTAGTTCTTTGAACCTTTTCCAACGGCTCACTATCTCTTTAGACAGGAAGCTCACTATTGTTCACCGTGCATTTATCTGTACCTTGATGATTAATATAAATCATAATGTACTTAGAAGCATTTATCGTTAATTGCCAAATTTTAGACCAGCCAAATAGTTTCTCTAGGTCATTTTAGAGTTCTTAACTATAAACTCTACCTTACATCGTTCTGCATATCTTGAAATCGTCAGTATATAACAAAACCGATGACGACATGAGACGATGAAGGTCATTTACAAACAAGAGGAACAACGCTGACCTCAAAACTGTACTTTGAGGCACTCTGCTAAGCAAAGTTTCTCAGGTAAACAACTTTGCGTTCATCCGCATCCTTTTTTAGCGCCCAACTAGCACTTTCTTTATCTATTTTAATAAATTGCCTCTAATCTCGATATTACTTAAATTATATAAAAACCTGTTGTGAGGAATTTTGTCAAAAGCCAAGCTGAAGTCAGTGTAGGCTACATCTATAGGTAACTTTTGATCTTTATGAGAGCACCAACTTTTACGGTCTACTAATAAGTTGTTAAGACATGAATAACCTGTTTTAAAGCCATGTCGCTTTTCAGAAAGAATATGTTTTTGTTGAGATACTTGAACAACTTCCAAATAAGGTCCTCTAAAATTTTAACAACCACGCTGGCTGGGCTTACGTGTTGATAGTTTCCAGGTTTATGTCTCGTACCTGTTTTGAAGATAGGACTTACTATAGCATTATTCCAGTCTTTTGGTAATCGTCCTTGAGTTACAGATAGTTTAAAACATATTCACAAAGGACTCGCGACAATATTTACTAATTCCTTTAATAACTTAATATTCATCTCATCGGGTCCAATGGGTTTACCTCAAGCTCATTTAGCATGGCAAAGAAATCGAGTTCTTTAATGATCACAGTATCCACTGCGTGCTTATGTGGCGAGGCGCTAGTATGAACTGAAGGGGAACCCATCTCTACGGTATATACAATGCTAAGGTAACTTGAGAACACCTGAGTTTTACCATAATCGTCCTCAGTGTAATCATACAGTACTACTGTCTCTCCATTATGCTGGTGTATTTCCTCTTCCCTTAATCCTTTGGTTTATGTACAAGTATAAGTTGTTAGGGTATCCTATAGATTCTTAAACAAGCTTTTCTTCGTGCAACCTTTTAGACTTGCGGAGGGTCGAGGCGTAAACATTTCGAGCTCTGCGACATTGAGATCTTGTCTCATCAGTACCCAGTAACATAAACCTCTTCAAAATTCCACTCCTTCTACGGAGAAGAGTGTAAACCTCTTTATTGAACCACGGTGGGGAGTTTCTTGAAACCTTTGATGTAGTCCTTGTTATTGACAACTATATGGAAATCAAAGACTAGAAATGCATCGTCACTACTGCCTAAGGATGGTATATAATAGAGGTTCGTGATGCCATCCTCATAAGGAGTCAATATGAGATCTAATAAGGATAATTCGGAGTCCTGGTCATACCTAGTTGCTTCTTTTACATGTTGCACCAAAGCACAAATGATAACCGCATCAGCTGGTTTTTGTTTGAAAGAATTTTCTGACAACCCAGTTCTAAGATTTTTTCAGGCTACTGTAAGTGCATTAATGTCTACCTAGATTAAATACCAACCACGTGTTGAAACTATCTTGCTAGACCTCATTCACCTCACAATTTGGACTGCCATAGACAAAATCAATCAGTATCTCTCAACCTTTATATTTCAAGCAACAACTATCTAATTCGCACGTCACTTTCGTGGGATATAGTATCAATAACAGTTATTGAGATAATATTTATAATGAATAGAGTTATTCCTCCTATACGCTCTTCAATTCTATCCGCTTACTGACGTGAAACTTTCAAATTTAAGTTCTATACTATCTACAGACTGTGTCAGCCAAATTACTGTGACTGCAATTACATTCAGCTTTTTTAAAATCTCCCTGTACACCGAGTTCCGATTGTTTGTTGAGAATGCTCTGGTCATTTATGTAACAGATACAAAGACCATTTAAATTGATTCATGCTGCACTCAAAATAACATATCTCATGTTCTTTCGATTACTTCGTACATTGAAAAAAGAAAAGAATTAAACATGTTAACTAATTTATGACTCCTCGATTTCCATCATTTCTTCAAATTACATCGATTTATTTGCATGAAGATAACGTTTATAATGCACAAAATATTCTGTAAAACACTAAACATCTTTCATGATTTACATATTTACATTGAATTTACTTAACCTAAGGTGTCATGTCGTGTAAATTGATTAAAATAGACTCAATACATTGTCATGTTTTGTCTGCTTTATTGATCTTATTTTTTTTCTCTCTAATATTTATTAATTCCTTTTTTCAGTTTCAATTAAATCTATTGTCTAGAAGTTGACAGTTTTGTTCTTTTCTCTCTCTTTCTCTCTATGTTCTATTAGAAAATTATTCTTCATTCTGATGTTGAGTTAAGTTAAGATGATAGTTATTCTCATTATGTTTTAAGTGATAAAAAAAAGCAACACACATTTTAACTATGGTAGGGAAAAATGTGAATAAGCATCTATATTGAAAAGAACATTTTTCATGTATTCCATTAGATATATATCAAGAATAATAAACTATTTGTTTGCCAATTTTTTTTTCTGGCTTTCATTTTTGTTGAATTTTTATTGAAATGACAAAAATCGAACAAGAATGAATTGATTGACTAACTTTCAATCTATTTTTTTAAAAATACAACAAAATATTGAAATATTTAAAAGTAAATTAAAACTTTGTAATAAGATAAACTTTTTGTTGAATATTTCATGGTAGATTTTGTTGCTATGTTTTAATTTTTTTGTTGTTGTCCTGCTTTGTTTATTTTGAGAAGGGGGGTGGAGAAGGGCGGAAATATAATACAAAGTAGACAAAACTGATCTTGACCAAATTTGTTTTTGTTTTTTTTTAAAGAATTTTCGATTATTTTATTTTATATTTAGCTAAACCATATCACAAAATTTAATGTAAATATGTTAATAGAAAAGTGTTGAAATTAGATTTTGACTATATGAAATATCATTTATAATGCTTGAATATAATAGTTCTTTCTAAAGTTTTGAAATCAGTATACATTTGATGTTCATAATTTTTAATTATGAAAAAGGATTAATTATTATTATTATTGTTAGGATGTGCAGAAAAATATACCAATATTTATCATGTTAAGTCTAATGTTGACCTTGGACGCTAAATGTACATTCCCTATTGGTCGATATTTACTTCACTTGTTTAATATTGTGTAAATGTTGATTTCTATTTTTATGGTACGATGTGGTATGTTTGGTTAGTATATAAATAGAGTATGTCTGAAATATAATGATTCATATCTCAGAGGCTGTGAATTGCTGGGATAGACAGCGAAGCAGGGCCAATCAGGACACTAGGTCGTCCGTACGTGTTTACGTGTCACTGTAACCGATCAATAAAACGCTGCTCCATCTAACCTGCAGTCACACCCGTTACAACAGTTATTATTTTTATTACTCTAGTCAACTGATAAATTCTTAGCAGAATGTTACAATTAGTAATTCAGTCTTAAATTCATTGTGACTGTATTGAATTGAAATTTATTATTACGTTGAAATTCCTCAGAGAATAGTTTAGAAGACAATTATTTAATATAACAGAATTTCAATGTTTATTCTTAGTGATCATATATCGATATACTTTTATAAATCAAATTTCTTAATTTGTTATTAATAAATTTGAAGGCAGTATAAGTTTTGAATAGGAATTAAAGTATGCTTATGGGATAATTTTAAACACGTTTGAATGTAGCCATTCTGTAACACGTTACTATTCTTTTTTTAAACGGTGGATTGTAGTGGAATTCAGATCTATAGCTCCTTCTTATTGGTTAAGTGAATGCCAACACATATGTTCGAACGAAACTCTAAGTAATGACGCATTATTGAACACCATTGCTAGTCTCGATCCACTTATCTGATCCTAGCAATGGATCTAGCCATACCCTCATGTACCTCACATTCAAACAGAGACTATTTTTAAACTAAGAACAAAAGCTCTTTCAAATAACT